CCAACCAAGCAAGAGGAGACCTACACTGAAACCCTGGGTCCATGAAAAGTATATACAAGAAAATCTGAAAAAAAGGTTTATCCGACCATCTACATCTCCTGCAGGGGCTTTGTGGGGAAAAAGATGGCAGCTTAAGATCTTTTTTTATTTTTTTTTTTTATAATCTTTATTTTATTGCGCAGAGAAAAAGGTGTTACAAGACAGATAAAACAGTAGCCACATCGGCTTAACAAATATCGTTGCAAAATTCACAGGCTTTAGTATTTGCGCATTTTTTCCCTTTGTCCCATTTGTAACATTGTGTAACTTGACAGGGTAGTATTCTAGTGAATCCAGGTACAGAGCATACTACTGACATTGGTCGGGGGGTATGGGTTCGGCTCGTAGGGTTGTACCTTTCGATGTGGTAGAGCCAGGACGGAGAGGAGGGGGGGTGGGATGAAGGTCGTGCAAGTACTATATGGGTCGGGTGAGGGTGGCGTTTAGGTATCTCTAACGCTCTAGGTAGGTCAACCATGGCTGCCAGGTTAGAATGTATGTGTTGTAGTGGTTCGAGTATGAGGCGCTTAATTCTTCCATGGTCCGTATGAATTCCACCTTCTGTATCCACTCACGTACTGATGGGACCCCAGTGCTTTTCCACTTAAGTGGTATCAGCATGTTCGCTGCTGTCAGCATATGGTTTATGAGTTTGCGTAGGTGGCTTGGCATGTGGGTGGTGTGCATGAGGAATATGAAGGTTTCGGGGGAGTGTGATACTTGGTAACCCGTGATAGATGTTATTAGGCTTCTTAGTCTCTGCCAATAGGTTTGAATAGGCGGGCATAGCCACCAAATGTGAGCTGTGGTTCCTTTGGTTTGCCCGCATCTCCAACATAGATCAGGTACTGTTGGGAAGAGTGCGTGGATCTTGGTAGGTGAGTAATGCCACCTGGATATCCGTTTGTACGTGCTTTCCCTTACTGCTGTGCTGACAGATGATTTATGTGTGTGTGTGAAGATCCTATGCCATGTTTCCTGAGGAATAGTGATATTTAGCTCACCTTCCCATGCTGACGTGAACGCCGGCAATAGGGTGTGACTTGAAGTGCTTAGGAGTCTGTAGAAAATGGACAGGTGTTTGGTTTGAAGGCTGTGTGTGGTGCAGTAGGTCTCAAAGGTGGTGTGTGCCCTTGTTCCTCGAATGAAATGTGGATCCCCCTTCAAGAAGTGAGACAGTTGGGCGTATCGAAAGTGTTGTTTGGTAGTAGGGTGGTCTGTTGTGGCCAGTGTAGACAGTGGAGCCACTCCCGTTGGGGTCATAACTGTGCTAACCATCGGGTATCTCGTCTTTTGGACCAATGGAAATTGGGAGAAGAAGTGTGGGCATGTGCCCGGTAGGAACTTTGGATTGTGTGCCAAGGGATATAGCGGTGAGGGGTGTGGTGAGACGTCTTTCTGGGGCCTAATGCGCGACCATTGGCGCAGTGTGGGTGTGATCGTTGGGTGTTGTGAGTGTTGAGGCAGGAGGAGTGTGTGTCCCTTGTCATGCCATGGGATTGTGCATAGAGGAGATTGGAACATTGAGCTTTCTATATATGCCCATTGTTTCAGCGGGGGCTCTGCGGTCCACTCGTATATTCTGGTTAGTATGCTCGCTTGATAGTAGCGTTCCATATGAGGTAGGCCTAGGCCCCCCCTTCCCCTATGTCTGGTCAGAATCGTGTACGCTATTCTCGGGCGTTTAGTCGCCCATATGAAGGTTGTGAATATTTGTTTGAGCTTGGAGAAAAAGGAGGGGGGGATCGCAATGGGGAGTGTTTGTAGGAGATATAACACCTTTGGCAATGTATTCATCTTCAATATATTGATCCTACATAGCCAGCTAAAGACGGGTCTCTGCCAGTTTGTTAGATCTTTTGATATCTCGGTGAGTAGTGGCATGAAGTTTAGATCGTATGCGTGTTTCAGGTGTCTGGGTAGATGGACCCCAAGGTAGGTGATGGACCTTCGAGCCCATGCAAAAGGGTACGCGGTTTTAAGTGTGTTTTGTGTTTGTCTGTCTAGTTGGAGGGGTAGGATTTCACTCTTTGTGTAATTGACCTTAAAGTTGGAGAGCTTGGCATATGTCGTCAGTTCGGCTATCAGTGGAGGCAGGGAGGTGAGCGGGTCGGTGATGGAAAATAGTAGGTCATCTGCAAACGCAGATACCTTGAATTCTTGTTGGTGGACTTTAAAGCCATGGATGGTGTTGTGGTCCCGTATTCCCTGTAGGAAGGGTTCTAGGGTGAGAATAAAGAGTAAGGGGGAGAGAGGGCAACCCTGTCTCGTGCCGTTCTTTATGTGTACCGGACCTGACAGTTGGCCGTTTATTCTCAATTTTGCCGTTGGGTGAGAGTATATGGCTCCCATCCATTGCATCCAGTTTGGACCAAAGCCCATGGCCTGGAGAGTGGTAGTGAGCATTGTCCAGTCTACTCTATCAAATGCTTTTTCAGCATCTATAGATAGTAGTAGGCTTTGCCCTTTTGTGGTTCGGGAGAGATGGATGAGGTTCAGTACTTTAGTTGTGTTATGTCTGGCCTCTCGTTTAGGGACAAAACCGGATTGATCAGGGTGGATTAAGGTGTGTAGTATAGGTTGTAGACGCATGGCTAGGATTTTCGTACAAATCTTCAAGTCTACATTTATGAGCGAGATTGGGCGGTAGCTGCCGCACTCTTTGGGGTCTTTACCGGGTTTTGGCAGCAAAGTGATATGCGCCTCCAACGCTGATGCCGGGAGTGGGGCTGGATGGGTAAGAGCATTAAATGCCCGTAGATATGGTTCAGCCAAGAGTGTAGCGAATTGTTTGTAGTATCTGGCTGTGAGGCCGTCGGGGCCAGGGCTTTTGCCTAGTGGTGTTGATTTTATCGCGCAATTTAATTCTTCAGTGGTAATGGGCATGTCTATGGACTGTGCCACGGCGTCAGGGATTTTATTTTTTAGCCTGGTTGATAGGTATCTTGTTATGTCGTTTATATCCGGAGGTGACTCCCTGAGGTTGTAAAGTTTGGTATAGAAGTGTTGGAAGGCTTTCATGATGTCTGGGAGGGTATGTGATATAGTGCCCGTTTGTGTTTTGATTTTGGAGATGTACGTGTTTTGCCTGGACTGTCGTAGGGCATTGGCTAGTAGTTTGCCACATTTACCTCCCTGTGTATAATAGGAGTGCCTGGTATGGAGGAGCTTTTTCTTGGCCTGGTGGTGCAGTAGTTGTGTCAGTTCTGTGCGCTTGGTTATGAGGGTGTTATAGGTTGATAGGGAACTATCCCGGGTATGAGTATGTTCAAGGACTCTGATTTCTCGTGTGAGTGTGTCTATTTTCTGTGTTCTCCTTTTTTTGAGAGTGGCCGCTATTGCTAGGAATTCTCCCCTTATGACGCATTTGTGCGCTTCCCAAGTGGTCATGGGGGAGATGGTTGGTAGCGTGTTTTCTTGGAAGTAGTTGGTAAGTGCAGTTGTCACGCGAGATGTGATTGTGGGGTCATTGAGGAGGAAATCGTTAAGTTTCCAATGAAAAGTCGTCAGTGGGAGCGTGGGGATCTGTATGACTAGGGATAGAGGTGCATGGTCTGACCAGGTAATTGGACCGTAGGAGCAGGAGATGGCCAGATGCAAGTGATCTTGGGGAAGGAACATCATGTCTATCCTGGAGTATGAGCGTGAGGCTGAGGAGTAGTCTCTATCTTGTGGGTGTGTGGTTCTCCAGCAGTCAAATAGTCTAGCTTGGTCAAGGAGGTGTGTTATCTGTTTCCTTGCAGCATTTTGGTATTGTGTGGAGTGGGAGGTCGTGTCGAGGGCAGAGTCCAAGGACATATTCAGGTCACCACCCATGATCAACATGCCTTCCATAAAGGATTCGATTATATTAAGATACTTCTTGAGGGCTTTGCCTTGGTGTCGGTTGGGTAGGTATAGGTTAGCAAATGTGAGGACGGTCTGGCCTATCTGTCCCTTTACCAAGAGTAGCCTGCCCCCATCATCAGTTTTGTGAGCCTTGTAGGTGAAAGGAGTGTGTGCTGCAAAGAGTATGGCTACCCCCCTGGCCTTGGCGTGACTATAGTTACTAAAGAATCCTGTTGGGTATGTCCTGCTCTTGAGAGTGGGCGCTCTGTCCTTCTTAAAGTGAGTCTCCTGTAGGAAGACCACGTTAGCTCGTAGTTTGTGCATCTCTGTAAGAGCTATAGATCTTTTCTCGGGCGTATTAAGGCCTTTAACATTGAGTGTGACTAATTGTATGGTAGCCATCAGGTCTGGATACGTTTGTAGGTGTGCCAATGAGAGTGTCTGTGGGTGAGGGGGGGGATGTTTGGATGGGGGGGATTTGGTCACCTGGAGGGAGGAGCAAAAGGGGAAGGAAAGCAAAAGAAAAAGAGAAACAACAAGAGGAGAAAAATATAGAACAATTAACTTATATACAAGCGAAAAATCTATAGATAGATCGGAGTAGAAACTGTCCCCCGAGATTGCTAGGAGGCACCGGTTGAACACCGGGCGTCAGCCAGCAGTCTGAGGGGAGACCTCTGGTGTCGGGCCCAGAGTGGGACGTTGCCACCTGGGACTTTTGTGACACCGTGGTATAGGTCGTGTCGACCTAATACAATGCAAGTCGTCTAGTAATCATACGATAGTATGCAAAGAGAGATGAGGGACGGAGGTGGTCCCGGGCGACTGATGTCAGTCAATGACTCTCGTAGGAGATCAACGGGAGTAAGAGTCATCAACTGTCGTCGCCAGAGCACACACCCGTAAATACATTTCACAACATATCAGTTAGTTAGACATCTTAGATGAGGAGGCTATAAAAACAGTATAAACAGCGTTATTCTAGATAAACTTTTTTTTTTTTTTGTGGGTGATGCGTTAATGATATGTCTAAATTTCTGTTGGTGGGCCACTAAGAAAGATCCCGGTAATGTGCAGCATTTACCTGCCGCCAGCCTAGCCATTGGGTCTGCATAGTGAGAGGGAGAGGTGGAAGCCGTATATCAGGTCTGTATATTTGCCTGTTATGCCGCTGCCGGGGATGGTAAGTGTCGCGGGAAAATAAGCGAGATTACCCTGTTGAGTGTTATTCCTGTTGAGGTCGCGGAAATTGCGACAGCTGGCTGGCGTTATAGGGATTGGCATTTAAGACATTTTCGCTCTGTATCATACCCCAGGGGGGTTCATCCCTTAGCAACATGGGTTTAGCATTATATGGATACGGTCACCTGGTTCTTAAGAGAGTCCTGATAGCCCCAAGTGGAGATGGCTCCGAGGAGCGTTAACAAGTCTCTGGCAGCGTGTTAGAGATGGTCATCTCAGCATGTCCCTTGGTTGTTCGAGTTGGGCTTCCCTTAGCAGCTGGTGTCCCGGAGGTGGCAGCTGCTAGTGGATCATATAGCCTTGGCTGGTAGCAGGTCGTAGTGTGTGCGCAGGGTTGGAATCTTTTCAGTGTAGCGACGGGTCTTGGGTATCTGATCTTTTCTTCTTGGGCGTTTGTTGCCATCGGGGTCTCTGCGGTAGCTGAGGTGGAAGTGGTGTTTGCAGCGGTCCGTACCAGTCCATGATGTGTGGGTCTGTGAGGTTGAGGGCTTGTGTAAAGAGTGGTATGTCCGCATGGGAGTGTATCGTGTGCTGAGTGCCCTTATACGTGACACTCAGTGCCAGTGGGAATCCCCACCTGTATCTTAGGTTTCTGGATCTTAATTGGTCTGTAATTGGTCGCAAAATCCGTCTCGCTTGTAGTGTCAGCCATGAGAGGTCGGGGTAGATGGTTATTGGGGCATCATGAAATAGCATAGGTTGTGAGGTCTGTTTCAGCGTGTGCAGTATATCTTCCCTGCATGTGTGATAGTGAAGCCTGCAAATGACATCTCTAGGCTTGTCAGTCGCTATGCCTCTGGGCTTCAGTGCCCTGTGTGCTCTATCTAGTAGGATGTGATGGTCTCTTGGCTTACCCAGAATTAAGTTGAATAGTTCATTCAGCGTCTGGTAGATATCTTCTTGTTCGTTTTCTGGGAGACCTCTGATCCTTAGATTGTTGCGGCGCCCCCTGTTGTCTAGATCATCCATGGACCTATGGAGCGTGGACAGGTAGGTGTTCTGGTGTTCCACTGCTGCCTGCAGGGAGTTGAGCTGTGTATGCATAGTATCTCTGTCATCTTCCAGGGTGCTCACTCTGTCAGCAACTTGGCGAATTTCAGAGTTAAATGCATCCATTTTGGCTTGGACTGAGGCCTCTAGCTGGGTCAGCATGCCTGCAATGTCCTGTTTGGAGGGCAGATTTCTGAGGATGTCCTTCAGGTCCCCGTCCGTCGGGGGGCCCGAAATTTCCGAGTCTGCTGGGCTGGAGGGGGACATACATAGAGGTGAGGAGTCTGCCGCCATATTGGGGCCTAGTGCGCCCGTATTACTATCCGCCCGGTCGCGGAAATACTTAGTAAAAGCGCTCGATTTACCCGATGGGGTTTTGCTGGAGGCTTGCTGGGAAGATGCCGCTCGTTTTGGGTGACCCATCCTTCGTTTTGTGGCCCGATCTGGTTGGGTGTGTGTCTGGTGCCGCCGGAGCTGATTTAGAACGCGGCCATGCACCAGCTCGGTCGGCTCCGCCCCCATTCTATGTTTCTATAATATCATCTCTGTGATATGCTTTACGGTTTTGAAACACTAATATTTGTGTTCATCGAAGTCTCCCAAGTAAAACAGTAGCCCCCATGTACAGGTTTTAAGCTGTCATAGAAAGTTACAGGGTTAAGTACAGTGCAAGCAAATTAAGATATCTGAACTTTTGGCCTGGGTTGTCAGGCAGGTCCCTCAAATTGCAATCAATAAAATTAATTATGTAAAAATATTACATAAATATGCACGTAGAATTTGAATATATATATATATATATATATATATATATATATATATATATATATATACACACACATTTTTATATATTTGAAGTCTACGTGTATATTTTTAAAAATTATTTATGTAATTATGAAAATGGATATATATATTTCATATTATTTTTATATATTTATACATAGATGTATGTAATTTAATTCCAAGTGAATTTTGAAATATATCAAAATACAGTTAGAATAAAATTACATATAAATAATTTTTTAAAATTAATTTTACATTTTATTTTATTGCATTTACTTATTTATATTTTGTAATATATATATATACACAATATATATATATATATACACACATGTGTAATTTAATTATAACTGTATTTTTATATTAATATAAAAATAGACTTAGTGACATTATATATACAAGATGCATATATATATATATATATATATATATATATATATATATCTATATCTATCTCATATTATTATTTTTATTTAATAAAATTTTTATTTTCCAGCAGCAGGGAGACTGCCTGACAGCACAGGCAGTCCCCCTGCAGGCAGATACTTGGACACCTATTGCAGCCATGTGACCGCTCTGTTAGAGCAATCACATGGCCCGCTGGGGGCCTAATTTCTTTGTGCTGTCAGGCAGTCCCCCCAGAACTGGAGCAACGCCGATCTCTGGCGGGGGATTCGGTAAGTAATTATGATGGTTCAGGACCGTCAGTCCTCAAGGGGGTGTTTCTAATGACGGTCCTGAACTGTCATCCGTCCTTAAGGGGTTAAATCATAATGATAACAGAAATCACTCAAATGGCCCTGATCAGACATTTGCATACCCTTGAATGTTTGGCCTTGTTACAGGCACACACAGGTTAAATGTGAATTAAATGTTAATTTCCCACACCTGTGGCCTTTTAAATTACAATTAGTGTATAAATAGTCTATGGTTTTGTTAGCTCTCACGTGGATGCACTGACCAGGCTAGATACTGAGCCATGGGGAGCAGAAAAGAACTGTCAAAAGACCTGCGTAACAAGGGAATTGAACTTTATAAAGATGGAACAAGATATAAGATAAGAGATCCAAAGTTTTGAAAATGCCAATCAGTACTGTTCAATCACTTAAGAAGTGGAACATTCAGAAATCTCTTGATACCAAGTCAAGGTCAGGTAGACGAAGAAAGATTTTAGCCACAACTTCCAGAAGATTTGTTCTGGATACAAAGAAAAACCCACAGGTAACCTCAGAAGAAATACAGGCTGCTCTTAAAAAAGACAGTGTGGTGCTTTTTTCAAGAAACACAGTACAACAAAAAAAAATTAGCTACATAGTTGAGTTTCCAGAAAGAAGCCTTTACTGCCTGGTTACAATATGCCCGACAACACTTTAACATGACTCACAGCTTCTGGGACACTGTAATTTGAAGTAACGAGACCAAAATAAAGCTTTATGGTCACAGCCATAAGCGCTATGTTTGGAGAAGGGTTAACAAGGCTTATAGTGAAAAAAAATACCATCTCCACTGTTAAGCACAGTGATGGCTCACTGATGTTTGGGGAAGGGAGGGTGAGCTCTAAAGACATGGGGAATCTTGTGAAAACTGATGGCAAGATGAATGCAGCATGCTGTCAGAAAATACTGGCAGCCAATTTGATTTCTTCTGCACGAAGGCTCAGACAACTATTACAAAAGTCTGCACGCTGTCATTGAGGCTAAAGGGGGCAATACACGGTATTAAAGGGATTCTCCAGTGCCAGGAAAACATGTTTTCCTGGCACTGCAGAACCCTACAGTGCCCCTCTCCCTCCCACCCCCTATCCCAAGTTGCTGAAGGGGTTAAAACCCCTTCAGTGACTTACCGGAGATCGGCGCTGGGGTCAGGCTCCGCCAACTCTACTCCCCTGCTGTCACGCGCATTACACCTCCCCATAGGAAAGCATTATTCAAGGCTTTCCTATGGGGATTTCAGCGATGCTGGAGGTCCTCACATAGCGTGAGTACGTCCAGCGTTGCTTAAAACACGTTTCGTGTTCTAAGAACACGGAAGTCCCTCTAATGGCTGTCTACAGCCACTAGAGGAGGACTTAACCCTGCAAGGTATATATTGTAGTTTATGAAAACTGCAATAATTAAACTTGCAGGGTTAAGGGTAGTGGGAGTTGGCACCCAGACCACTCCAATGGGCAGAAGTGGTC